GAAAAAGAATTTTTAAAATTGAAAGAAAAGAAAAAGGAAATGAGAAGGCTGATTTTTGGGCCATTTTGATTAAATTCCCCCAGGCCCAAACGATTTTGCCCATTACCCGTCCAAATCCAGGCCCAAATCGCCCCATACCCGGTCCGCCCCTTCAGTTGACGAAACGACCCCGTTTTTCAATCCCCAATCGGAGCCGTTGATCTCACTTGATCAAATGGTCGAGAACTGACTTGTTTGAAAATATATAACTGTCTGAATGGTTTGACCCCCCCGTTCCATCTCTCTCACTCATCTCCTCTTTAGGGACCCTCAAAAAATCCTAGCGCCGCCCCAAATCCCCCACCTTCTCTGGTGGCGGCGCCACCTCTAATCAACCCCAAATTAACACTACAAAACACCCATGGCCTCCTCTTCCCCAATCCTTGACTAACTTCCCTCGAATCCCTCTACACTGGTTCGAATCTTGAATCTAAGGTTGAAGCCCTAAGCCCCAAAATCAATTTCCTTTGAATCTGTGGCATGCATGAACATATGCTTCTGGTTTTTTCGAGTTTTGAAGTCTGATTCAACGCAAAATTGATGTTGTTCGTTTGTTCTTGACAAAGAACAAGTGATTAGCATCAGCTTCGTTTAAATCAGGATATCCAGCGTTATTTCGAGTTAAGTTGGTAAGTTTTCTTCATTTTTTATGTCCGTTTTTTGTTGTTTCACCATCTATTCCCCTTCTCTTTCTTCTACTTTTCTTTAGTTAGTTTCTTCTGATGAATTTAGTGAAAATTTTAACTTCTGAATCTACGTCTTTTCTTTGGTTGTTTGGTGTTCATATCTATTCCGTTGCTTTCCAGTTTTTCCTTTTTTTTAAAATTTGTAAAAGCTGTTCGTTAATTTTGTTTGGTTTGTTCGTTTGCATGTTTAACTTTTATTTAGGTCATGTTATGCTTCTGATTTTTGTTTTTATCTTATAAATTAGCTTAATTAGATGTTGTTTGATTTGGCCATCTAGCTTAATTCTAGTTGTATTTATATTAGTTAAAAATCAGTCAAGCCTTTAGTTTGAAAACATTCAAATGTTTCTTTTCTTGTTTCTCATTGAATCACTAAAATTGATTTCTAATTTGGTTTCTGCTTTGGATTCATTTTTGACAAATTTTCAAAGGAAGCCCATTCATTGTGGTTTATGTCTTGAGTCAGAATTGACCCATGTGGTTTGATGGTAATTGACAAGGGTTCTAAGGGTAGTCTAGGGACTTTAGCCTAGGGAATCTTGTGTAACTGATTTAGGAAGCTGATAGGAAGGTGGGTTTGGTACTTGTTTAAAAAACAGATTTTGAAATTAAGGACTGAATAGCAAAAACGAAAATTAAAAAAAGGAGTAAAGGGCAAAAACTGAAATCATTTCTGTTGCCCTAAAACTTCTCTATAAAAGGATGATTACTTCACTCTCAAGTCAGATTTTTGAGAGAATGATAAAACACTGAAATTTAGAAAAAACAGCTGAGTTTTCAAATAATGAAATCCTTTGCAATTTCTGGTAAAAAATTGGTTCAGCTTCCTGTTTGTTCTAGTATCTGAAAGTTACAAGGAATTTCTGGGTCATTTTCGAGTCTAAAATTGGTTTTCAAGTCTGGTTGTTGCTGATTTACAGAATCGAATCTGCTGCTGCTGATTCTTCTTAAACTCCCAGCTCATTTTTCTTGTTGTTTGTTGCTGTAACCAGGTACTCACTGAATCAATGATATGGAAGAGTTTTGAAGCTGGTTAATTAAGTCAAAAATCAGTGATATCTCTGTTGTTTTCTGCAACCATTTGGTTCTGCAATTAATTTAACCTTCTTCATGTCATGTTTGTTCTTTTCTATTTTCGGTTTTAAGTTTTGTTTGTAATACTCGATAAACTATTCCCTCCAGTCATTTAGTTTAAATGAGTTGATTTTGTGTTTGTATGAATGGACTGTTAATATTACTGCAGTAGAGACTTCAGCCGAATTAAACATGTTTTAGATCCACTCTAGTCTGCTGAAATCAGTGTTTGTTTGTGGTGATTTTTGTTTGAGTCTGCTAAAGTAATGTGTATAGGTTTGGGACTAAAGATTTTCAGTTTGAACCTATACTAGTAAATGTATACATTTTCTTGGAGAATCATGTTATTGTTTTGTTCATAGGTCATGGATTATATTTAAAGAGATGAAATAATTGCATATGGATTACTGTAGCAATAAGATTCACATTCATTATACTGTGTGACTCGGCTTCAGGGGTGCATTCTGTATAGGCTTTAAGTTGTTAAGAAATGTTAGCATTTGTTTTAATCTTCAGGTTTTGGTTTTCATAAAATTGCAATTTACTTCAATCAATGGTAATGAATCACAAATATGGGTTGTTGTCATTAGCCCAGTTGTGCCCGACTTTTTCTCTTTGACAATCTGGTTCTTGGTTTGGGCTTAACGTCGAGCCAGCTACTTCATGTGATTGTCATAAGCAGTTTTGGCATGGCAATTGGACCTGTAGCCAATTTAGGCCCATTTAACAACCAAACACTGGTTTCGTTCTTGTTAGTTTATTGGTTATTAAGTTTAGCTTCAACATTTGCTTAAAAATAAAATTAGAAATTCCCCTTAGTCTTTTAATCAATTAATTAGGTCCTTTAATTAGTTTGAGGTGCACCATATTAGCCAAACGTATAAATGATGGCCCTCACTTAATTATTTTAACTCTTTAGAAATTGAGGTGTGCCATTAGCTGAATTTTCCATGGCCCCCGCAAACCTTCTTATTAACTTGAATGCGCGTAGTTGCTTTAGGCGCGTTTATTTTAAATTAATTTCCTAAATTCGGTGTGCATTTCATGTGACCCAACTCCAATTTTCAACAACGTTAAATAAAATGTATCGTAGACCGCGGGTGCATTTCATGTGGCGTGGTCCAAGATGTGTTTTAAATAACGTTGAAGCTTCCTAAAAATAATTAAAAGCGGCTAATAAGTTAAAAATATACCATAGGTTAAAACATGTATTAAAATCAGATAATAGGCCAATTATAATAGTTTAAGCGACCGTGCAAGAACCACGGAACCCGGGAATGCCTAATACCTTCTCCCGGGTTAACAGAATTCCTTACTTAGAATTTCTGGTTCGCAGACTTCAAACGGAAAGTCGAATTTCCTCGATTTGGGATTTAAAAATAAATCGGTGACTTGGGACACCAAAATAAACTATCCCAAGTGGCGACTCTGAAGAAAATCAAATAAATAATCTCATTTCGAATAATGTCACTTAAATTGGAAAAACTCCCTTATATCATCCTCGAGTGTGTAAAAAGGAGGTGTAACACTTACCATACCATAACTCTTACCTCGATTTATCGTTGCTGATGTCTGCTACCAAATTCCAGCTTACTCTCGTTGCTTATCCTATATGCATAAATCTAAGTCCTTTAGTGTTTCTTCATCATTGTTCATCTTAAGAATGATGGTCTAATCTCATCTCATACTTGTAACTTTTATCCATCCATTATTGATTCACCTTAATATCGATAACTTGACCCCTTATGTAACACTGTCGCTAGGGCTCACGTCTCATCGGGAAACATCTGAAATGATTAAACTGATACGCCTGGGGCGATAACAAGCTTTCATAATCAGCATCCCAATGGGATTCACCTTTCGTAGGTATTTTAGTCCTGTACAATTCATGAAATCCTTCCTTTTCTTCTTCAAATCCAGTTTTGTCACAATTACACCCTCATTCTATTACCAGGGCAGCATTCCATCTCTTCCAAATGCTACCAGTCTTAGAATCCTCTGAGTTCATTCGGCTATACTCAGCTTTCTACAACTTAGAGAAACCATCAGCTCTCTTGTTTTCATGGGCTTAATCTTGAGTACTTATCCCTTCTCATCACCCACTCGCCCTTTCTTATACTTACTTCTGTATTCCTAAAACCTTGTCTCTTTACCATATTTTAGCTTGCGACCTATACATATCTATTTATACTATTTGTAAACCTTTCATCAATCTTGCTTGCACAATATATTTCCTTATGTTATTCTGGGATGTCAAGAGAGACATTGCATCGTCTCTAACTCTGCTTTTGTCTCTGAATTAGACCTCTCAGTGCCTAGAAACTATAGGCTGGAAGATATGTCACTTATAATGCGGCTATCAATACTGAATCCCAGCATTTCTAGACTTCTGTCTGAAGTATGGACTATTCGCAACCTTCTGCATTTGAGTATCTTGTTCGTTGTTCACCTTTTCCTTACTTACCTTAAAATATTACCTCACATTCATCTATCTCTTTCATAACCTCCCTTCCACATAGGTATAATTTATCTCCACAACCTAAAGCTCTATTATAATACTTGCACCTCTGGTGCATACATAATCCGGTGAGAGCTTCATACTGATTTCTTATGAGGCTGGTACTTTTCTAACGGGCTTTAACGTAGAGCCCTTATACAATATGGCTACTGTACTATCTCTCTTGTATTTCTGATATTAAGAGTAATTCTGCAATGTTCTCAATCCCGATTTCTATAATTTCTTGGGTCCAATAATAAAATTCCTGATTTACTTCGTTGACGTAACTCCTTAGTTTCCCCCTTCTTCTGATCAACCTTTATGTAGGCTTAAGCTATCTCCTGATCTGTGGCTCATGATACTAGTTATTACTTTTAGCCTTTCATGGGCTCTGTGGAAGATTTATAATGCAATCCTTTTACAGTTCAATCCTTTGTCTATGCCCTGGGCTCAATTCACTCTTTTAACATATCCACAGTCTTCTACGGTTGTATGAATGTCAGTATATATGCTGCATGGATAATATTTCGAAATCGTAAGTGCGTTCATGACGTAGCTAATTCTGGATTACTGATCGAATAATTCCTTTCGTTCCTTCTCAGCTTTCTTTAACGTAGGCAATTACTTTTCCTGGTCTTTCTGCCCCCTTTTTACGTGCATACTTAACTTATCTTAGTGCCCATATGTATTGGAATTCCATACTGCTCATATGATCTTGATATCAATTCTGATTTTTACTTCCCGTCCATTAGCCATGGTAGGTACCACTTCTTTAGGGAGTGCATACAAAGTTGTAGTGAGACTAATTTTATATGACCATTTCATTCTTCAAGTTACCATGCCTAGGTTGGAGTCTTCTTCTTTATTTCCTCAACTAGTGTTCCATCGTAGTACTTAGGGAGGACCACCTGATTCTTGGAAGGCCGCGAGCTTATTACCTTGTTTACCCGAGGGAATATTTTGATGTCCTTCCTCGCCTATAATTATCCGTAGTTACTTACCTCCACACCCTTGTGCTTTTAGAGTTGCTTCTGAACTTGATATTTTGACTGCCTTCTAGGCGGCATTCTCCTTTATTTCTGTAATAATCATACGGTACCTTTAACTACCCCCACTCCTATCTGAGTATTTCTCAAGGTTACGATGCCATATCTATGAGACTAAATACCTCATGTTGGGGTTCACTATGTTTATCTTGCACGATCTGTTGAATTGTATGTATCTTCTTGCCTAGCCATAACTAGTCTTTCCCTGAATCAACTACTGACTACTCGCTGGCCCATTCTCGTATCAGTATTCCGCGTAATCCTTCATGGGTCATTTCTTTTATCTTAACTTACCTCTCACACTGGCTCCTTATTTATCAAAAACATCCCGGGCCGGAACCCTTACTTTCTCTCCTTGACTTCGCGTCCTGCATAATTTTCTAGAACCGTAGCATATCTGTAGGCTTTAAATAAGTGCAATCTCATCCCTCTCTTATTTTTATCGCATTCTTCCTTTACCATTCCATAATTACTAGAACCACTTAATACTGACTTAATGTCACATCACTCCATATTCTCCCCTTTAGGGAAGTACTAAGATTTAGTGCTACGATGATATACGTGTAGATGTTTTTTCTCTTCATCTCTGGCATCTTTTCACATCATCGATGACCCTTACTCACCTTGTAGTAATCCTTCTGGACCAAGGATAACAAATTTCCTTACTCGTGAGGGTGTAACTGGCACATAAAGTCCCTTAAACTTAACTTTGCTTACCTTTCTTCCTTTTGGAAAGCTTCTTCCTAAATGACTTTTAAAGGTTATTCTTATGTCGTCCATTCTACTATCACCGGAATGCAATCTCTAAAATTCTCATGATGCCAACTATTATCAAATCACTCAGTCCCTAATTCATGTTTAGTTTATCTTGTTTACCAGCCCATACTAGTTCCTATTACCCTGGGGTTTTACTTTTCCTTCTGGTAGTTGTGTTGGTGTCACGAACTTATTTCTTGAAATGAGGATATGACTTTATGGCCTATACTTTTTTTGTTATCTCAAGGCCTATCACCTCTTGTCTTTTCCTTCACTTGACTATAGACTCTATAATATTGTCATCTTTTGACCTAGCGTTGTCATCGATGTGTCAGATCTTACTCATAATGCTTCATTAACTTTCTTCTTATTTCGCGCTAACATTTATGTCTATCACTTTATTCTAAAAACTCGAACAAGACGTCCTTTTAACGCCCCTTGCTCCATCCATTGGCTCTTCGGGTTGCCTAACATTCTTTCTCTACTAGGGAAGGGAGCCACACTAAGGTAATTTTTATCCCTTCCAAGGCTTCCAATGACTAACTTTGTAGTACTCATATCTAGCTGTACTATTTTAG